GAAGCCAAAAGACATCTCTGAGGCGTTCCAAAGATAAAATTTAGTGCTGGAGGAAAGATGGCTTATAAACATCCACCCTAAAACTCGGGTCATGCTTGTATCCTCCCTCTCTCACACACACAATTCACATCACAGCTTTCTTGAAATTAAGAGATGCAGTGGGCTGCACACACAGCCAGATAAGGTGCCTGTGCTGTCAGGGTTTGTCAAGTTTCCACGCTCTGACTTCAGAAAATGTCCAAGCTTTGAAGCCAGGACAATACACACATATAATAATGTCTGATTTCAGGAGTGCTGCTGGAAGCTCCTACCACAAAGACAAGTCAAATCTTTCATTTGCTGGCAGAGACTCCAAGGAGAGGTTCATGGAGCAAGAACAACCAAACACCACAGTCCAGCCCCACTGCCCACAGTGTCTGCAGAGAACAGAGGTGCTCCAGAACACCCTGCCCCAGCACCTCCTCACAGACCCCATCCTGCCCTGCTCTGAGAGCACACTCTGTCCTGGTTGTCACTCACCCCCAGCCACAACAGGATCAATCTCCTTTCTGTTCATGAGAGAAGGTTTTCACAGAGGATAAAGCAAAGGAACTGGATGTCAGCCATTAACAGCAGCACCTCTTTCCAGTCCTTCAGATCTGATCAATCATTGCAGGACTACAAGTTTTTTTATTTTTTACTTCCGGCTGTCTTACAGAAAACCATAAACTTCAGTTTTGCCCTTGGGAACATCAATCCCAGACACAGTATGTTCTGGCACTGCCAGTATACTTGGCAGATAAAATGTGCACTTTAAGGGCTTTCTTAACTTCAGTGAATTTTAGAGTAGCAATTATCTTCAGTTACTCCAGATGAAAGACCACACAAAATGTTAATTCAAGCCCCCCTTCTCCCAAAGCCCCCTGCTATCCCTGGTCACCACTGCCCTACTTTTTCCCCTCACCAACACCCAAAAGGTTGGACCTGCTCTTCCTTGTTGCTCACATTTCCTGGTGAGATCACTGCCCTTGTCATATCTTTTCCATCTACACTGTAAAAAATCCTGTCTCCTTTCAGGACATTTTAGAGTTCTTGTTGCAGTTTGGAGGAAAGCATTGCTTTCTCCACACAGACACACCTGCTGCATCTCACCGAATTTCTCCCACAACCTCAATCAGAACACGAGATAAAACAGACAAAACTGGTTCTTTTTACCTGCCAGAGGTAGCAAAAGATGCTCCACTGGATCCACTGTAGGATCCACTATTGCACTGTAGGACACAGAGGAAGGAATTGGGATCACCTAAAAGCAGCGTGTGTCAGAAAGGTTTTAATACTGAAGAAATGAATGAGATGTATCAACCCTGCCTAGACTTCTAGCAGTTACAAAGAGGCTGTAATAAAGTTGTGAAGTTTTGAGTTGCGAAGGCTGAAACACCACCAAGCGACACAGTGGTGACTTTGTAATTCAGGTGCATTTAAAGGAAATATTAGACACAAAACTGAGATCAGCAATACTTTTGGGATGGTTTAAATCACAAATGAAAGAGCTTGTCATCAAAACCAGAACATGTTCTCAGGCTGAAATCCAAGATCCTGCGTGGCACCACATGGCAACGCAGGAGAAAACAAAACTTCCATGTCCCTGTGATCCATATGAGATGGACTGGAAGAACTACTGGTGAGAAGAAAGGGGAGAAGGAAGGAGACTTAAGTAGGCAATCTTTTCCTGAGAATAACACCCAGCAATGTGCCAGAAGTCTAAAGTACCAATACACTAGAAATGCAGAACCACTTCTGAGGAAGTTCAATCCAAGCCTTTAGTTCTCTTCAAGAAAAAGGACCACACTACATTTTTTCATGAACTCTCAAGCTCTCTTCTGGAAACTTTAGAGATTTCACAGCTCCATGCTTCTTATTATTGTTTTATCATTTGCTGCATAAAAACTCTGGCTTTGGCTGCTCCACCCTATAGAGTGCTGAGTTTTACAGCTATTTGTGAAACAGCAGCGACAGTCTGGGTTTTGTTTTTACAATTGCGATAATCCCTGCCCTAAAGAACTTACATTTAACAGCCATGTCTCATCTGTGACTCACTCAACCTGTGTCAAATAAGGCTGTGTGAAATAACAGCTCTGAGCCTGGTCACAGGAGCTTAAAATCTCTTGTGGGCTGCAAACTGCTCCCAGAGCAGCAGCCTGGGTGGGTCAGAGCTGCCCAGAGCCCAGAGAGCTGCAGTTGTCCTCAGCCTTGCACACACTGCTGCTGCTGCTTTTCTGGGCTGAGATGACACAGGAAGTCCAAAGAATGGTGGTGTCAATTCCTCTACTGCTGAAAAGCTTCTGACGGCAGGAAGAGTGTGAACAAATCCTCTCGAGTCTTGAAATGGGCAATAACTGATGCCACTCTAATGAAAGGGCCTGAGAGGCACTGCAGAGAGCAGAGGAGTGACAGAAACACAGGAAGGGGGGGAAAAAAGGGGCTTTGAGACAAACTGCTGCGAGCAGAAACACCACACAGAGCTGGGCCTGGTGATGCATTCGGGCACATCACCAGGGCCAGGGAAGATGAGCAGCACAGTAAAGACATTGTGGGATACTAAAATCAGAGAAAAGGGGCAGTGACAGTCATGGAGATGAGTAAAACGATTCTGGGCAGGGAGCCCACCACCAGAACAGTGCAGGGAAAAGCCACCCGCGGTGAGGACCAGCAGGGCACTCCACGCCCGAGATGCTACGAACGAAACCCAGCGAGCTGGGGGGTCACTGCAGAGACCTGAGCTCCTCGCTGGTGCTGCCACTCGAGCCTCTTCAGAATTGGAAATGCAGGCTGCAAAGGAGAAGTATGAGGTTTGGGATTTCTAAGGCCAACACTGCTCTGTCTGCTGAGCCTTGTGCTGTCACAGCTTTTCTTCCGACGGGAACTGTGGAGGACGCGGTGGCTGTGCCCCAGCAGAGCAGGCACAGATGAACCTTTTGCTCCAACAGAAGCTCAGCGAAACACAACACTTTGCAATTCACTTACAGTGGCCTGTTACTTGATGTTCATGAATGTACAAGACATGGAAAATGGGAAAATGTCACTTTTACACCATGCCTTCCTGAAACAGCTGTTGCAACAGCTGTGTTTTTTCACACAGCTATTGCTTTATCTGAAATAAAATACCAGGCACATTTCATCCGGGCAACAAGAAGACCAGATAAAAAAAGATGACAAGTATTTAAATTGAAAAGCCACAGCTAAATGAGAGTGGACATACTTCTTGCAGAAGCTGTGTACTTTTGTCATTTAAATGCTTCCTACCCTCCCCAACAGCTGAGCCCTAACACCCCACACTCACGGGCTACTTCTGAACACCCAGAAGTTTATACACTTCACACAAACCAATTTTAACAGCTCATGGCATTTAGGAGAATCCAGCATTAAGGCTAATAACAGAAGCTCATCAAACAAAACTGATTATGAGAAAGCCCATCTATTTCTGTCAGACAGCATCCCCAGTGCAGTTGTGTGCTATCACTGGTTATTCCAATCCAACATTTGGTTATATTGAATTTAGGAGCTCTTTGCCAGTTTCAATAGGACCAAAATGCTGACCTTCAGTAACTAATCAAATGCCAGATGGTACAGGCATTCACAGTAGAAGTCATTTCAACTCTGAATGTCTATATTAAAAACTTTATGCTGCTAAAAACTGTGGAAAAAGTTACTGACTCTTCACAAATGGCTAAACCACAATGCTGGCGAAACATAAACTAGTTCCAGGTCTGAAAGAGGGGAATGTGGAGAGGCACTGTTAAGTCCAGAAAATCTCCAGGCACAAAAGATATTAATTAATAACTGAAGCTGGAAACTTCCTTTTCCTTCCTCAAAGGCTTCCCCATCACTGAACTGTGAACTGAAACAAAGCAACAGCTTTTGGGGGTAGAAGCTCAATGTTAAAGTTAAACCCAAGTCTTTGCCAGTGAAAGAGTGGCTCAGCTGCAGTATCTGTCACTGTGACCACAGCTCCCGTCACACAGGCAGAAGAATCCCCCTTCACCACATCTCACAAAAGGACAAATCCATAGTTGCGTCAGGTCGTAAATGTTTGTGCACAAACTGTTCAGCCTCTCTTCTGCTTTCAACTTCTCCCATATTTCTAAGGCAGACCCACCAGCATTTGCCCTGGTGGAAGTGCAGCTCAAGCCCAGCAGCTGCTTTCAGCCAGGCAGTCTGTAAACACCCAGGACTTGCTTCAAGGAGCGCAGCACACCCAGGCAGGAGAAGCCCCTGTCACCTCCAGGGAGGAGCTGCCAGCTCCCAACAGCCAGCAGCAGGAAACTGCCACAAGCAGGCTCTCTAATTTTTTTATCCCCCAAAATGCCAAATTTGCAGGCACATCAGTGTGGGCAGACCACGAGTTTCGGTAAGAGTGATGGCTTGTCTCTGCTGACGTCAAGGACCTGCTGAGCAGGCGCCTGCAGGATGGGGCTGCCAACGAGTGCCCAGAACAGCAACAGATTTGAGCTGCCAGAAGGCAGCTCCGCATGCAGGGTTACAGTGCCAGCCACCACGAGACATCTCCAGTTTGGGGAAAAAACTATCACTGTCAGGGCAAACATCTGTCAGCCTCACACATTTCAACTGCAGTAAGAAACACGGTAATTGGATCATCCATTTTCCATGCTGACACCAAGACGTACTTGCCTAAAGAAGATAAAAGAGGCTTGGACAGTCAGAACTGCAGGCACTCGAAGCCATTTTGATTTCAGCTTATTCCCTTTCCATCTAAATAAAAATATCTATTATGAATAATGAATGTTCCTCCATTTCCCTCCTTACTGCTACATTTCCAAATCTTTGTAGGTCTTTCCAAGGGTGACACTCGCAGGAAACAAAAAGCGTAGAAACCGTACGCGTTGAGTTGGATGGTGATGCTGCAGAGGGAGGCGAGGGCTGGGGGAGCCGCTGTGCACAACAGCAACCCTGCCCTCTCCCTGGCACCACAAAAACCACCTCCCCACTCCCCCCGTCCTTACCTCGTAGGACCAGACGCACTGCACCCCCGCGAACCTGCGCACGCAGCGTCCCACCTCCACGTCCTCGTGCGTGGTGTACATCTCCCGCAGGCACTCGCCGATGTGCGGCACCATCCTCCGCAGCACCTCCCTGCTCATGATCACTCCCGGCCCCCCCATGCAGAAGTTCTCCCCCGGCTCCAGCGCCAGCTTCCCCATCTCCTCCGTGGTGCCCAGGCCGGTCTGGCCCAGGAACAGGGGCTCGCTGCTGTTCAGGCTCCTGAGGAAGTTCTCCAGTTTGTCCCCTTTGATGTAAACGTCGTCGTCAGCCCTCATAAACCATTCGTATTTGTCCAAGTAGTGGTCATGCATGTATTTGAGCATCATGAAGGATTTCTTCTGGGGTGGGTAGGAGTCATCTACACCTGGAAGTGGCACGATGGGGATGGGGATAGACGTGTCCGAACCCTCGCTGGAGAAGAATTCGACCTTGCCGGGAATGGTTTTGGACCACGTTCTAGATAGAAAAAAACAAGAGGGAGTAATTAAATAGCAAACCAGAGCAGAGAATGCTGCCACAGACTATGTTTCACCTGCTTTACAAATTTTCTTTTCTGAACACCTTAAAAGTTCATTTTTTACCACACAAATAAGGACATTCACATAGCACACACAGCAACTGGTACAACATACACAAAATTCTTTTATGACAAGAGTCTGAGTACCAGTTTTGCACCTCCATATGTTAAAAAATAATTCAATAGCAGCAGTTCACTAGTGGGAAACAGGATTCCTTAAGCACACTCAGTTTTGCACTAACAGCTTTTGATCACAAAACACGGAGGCGATCCAACAGGGCCAACAATTCACATACAACTGAATTTACTGCTTCCAAAGCTTCCCTGCAAGTTATTCAGCATCATAGCCACCTTCCATCCCCTCTAAGCCTCCCCAAAAGCTCATATGTGCACTTAGAAATACAGACTTCCAGAGAGTAAATTCACATGAACTTTTAAGGAAACAGCATCCCTTGGGAAACCCCAACCAAACAGCAACTTCTCCAGATGGTGTGAGAAGCAAAGCACAGAGCAGAAGTAACCTCAAGTGGCTTTGTCCATACCAGAAACGTTCTAAGAGATGCCTGTAAAACTCCTAATTCTCACAGTAACATGGTGCTACCCATCATCTGCACCTCCAGCAGCTTTCCAGACTCTTCACTCCAGGTTTTAGTGGAAAGGAACTGCACAGAAGAGGAGCCTTTCCTGTGCAGGACAGCAGAGCAACATCTGCTCCACACCTTCCCTGCTCCTCTCTGACAAATCCAACCCATCTGCGTGGGCAAACTGGGTCACTGAGAGCAGGAAGAGCTGCAGGATGATTCCTCAAGGCAGAGCACAGCCTCCTCCAGGAGGATTTTCAGTCACATAACTGTTACAGCCTTGCCCTCAAAAATTATTAATTTTAAGCTTGCAGTACCATTTTCTGAGATTCTGTCTGGGATAAGAGATCACATACCCCTCACAGAAACTCACAGAAAACTATTTTAGTTGGTAAACCAACAGGTTTTGCCCTTTTATATACAGGGAGAATAATTCATAGCTCTATTTGGCAACTATAGTCAGAATATAACCTAAAGCTGATGTGAAAAGACTCTCAAGGTAAAGGACACACTATTCCCTCAATGCATCACTGTCATTCTGACCAGATGCCTCTCAGCACAGGCTCCTTGCCAACACCTGAGCAGATTTTGGGCATCACAGACCATCTGAAATATGAAATCTCCACAATTAGCTATCATATAAAGCCTGAAATGTAAAAATACTTCAGGAGAATTATTCCTTAAGTTCCATCAGAAAATGCAGAGGTATTTAGTGAGACTACCTAAACATCAACTTTGACACCTTAACAGTTTCTCACTTATTCCACTGTGTGTAATGAATATCATCCAATTACTTTAAAAGCTTTGTCTCCTGGATTTCTTACTGCCATGGCTAGTGTTTCATAGCAAAAGTTTAGATCCAAGCTTCCCAGAAGAGCACGGAGTAAAGCAAATGGAAACATTCCCACTGACTTCACAACAGAGGTGATGAGGCCTTTAATCATCAGTGAAGCAATTAATGCACAGTACTGCTGGTTATAAATCATATCCTGTTAAAGCACTGAGAATTGCCCATTTCAAAAGGAGACATGGTCACATCCTGAACTTTCACTAACTATTAAGGAAGTTCTGCTGTTCATTTTCAGACACCCACACTCCACGTACAAATCATCTCAGATCAACTCCCAGTCTAAGCTTAAAAGACTTTTCTTCACTAAAGATGCATTTAAATTTTAGTGTGACAGAAAGGACAGAAGGAGTTACTGAGAAATGCAGCTCATCCACTGAGAACAGAGCTTTGGGTGGACCCAGGACACTCTGCAGACAACCACCAGGTTGAAGTTACAGCCTAAAGTCTTAGGGAAATTTCTGTTTATTTACTTTTTTATTCAGAAGTAGACAATGTATTTTCAGACTTGCTCTTCATACCTGAAAGATCTGCCTTTATCATGACTATAATCTAGGGCAATACAGGATGTCTTCTATCACTCCAAGCTTTAGCTCCTTTCTGGAAGTCATCAAGCCCTTCTGTTGATTGAGTTTAAATTTACTGCTTGCTCTCCAACTAGGTACCTTCAGCTCAGGAACCACCAATAATTGCCAAGAGAAGAGCTCCCATTCAACAGAAAGGGAACAAAATGCATGCACATCCATGAACCCTGGCATGCTTGATTTCTTCTTAGAGCACTAAACCCCTCATCTCAAAGCCAGTTTGAGCCCATCTTTCTGTATGAGCCATATTTAGGTTTCCCATTAGACCAGGTGTAAAACAGAGACATTCCTGCATGTGTGAGGAGCACAAAGGGGACAGGAAGACCGTGCCCTAACAGCTTCCACATCCCAAGGACCTGTGGGTGGCCACAATGTCACTCCAGCCTTGGGATCTCATGTCAACCACATCGACCGTGCACCAGCACAGCTTGACTGAGCCTTTGTTCACCTCCTGCAACAACACAGTTTCTAGGATGAGACAGCTCAACGTGTTATTTGTGACCGTGGCTTTGTCTGAACCCAAAGGAACGAAACCCTTGCACGTGGAAAAACAACCCAAGTGTCTGTGTCACCAGAGCACGGCTGGGGCAGAGCCTGAGACAATGGAGCCACCACGGGCTGCTCCTCACGTCGAAGCCACAGCTCCCCGTGGCCCTTTCTGGGGACAGAACACAGGGAGAAGTTTGCTCAGGAAACGTGGTGCTGCACTCAGCCAAAGACGCCAAAGCACAGAGGGTGAGATGAACTGTGAGCAGGTTTTTCTGGCCCCAGTATCAGCAGAACGAAGGACTGATGAATGCAGGGATGAATTCTGATCAAAGCTGCTTTTAACTTTTTTATCCACTGTTGCAAATATTCAGACCTGGCTCCATCACCAGCAATTCTGTAGTTTAGTATGTAAAACCTACATTTTTTGTCAGTCCTCCCAACTCCACTGTAGTTTACCTTGTCTGCTCTCAGGTTATGGGCAGCAACCTGACCCTTCAGCTCCTGAGCACAGAGCTCTTGTCTCAACACCTCCCCTCCTCTGTGGCCCCACCAACATCCCCCTTTCACCAGCTGACATCACTCTCCTGGTCAAGGTTCCTCCAGTATAAGACCTGCAGGTTGTATCTGCAAAAGAACTGTATGGTTGATAATACTTAAAAAAAAAAAAATTATTGAAATTTTACACCTTCCTTCTTCCCCACCACCCTGTCACCCTGAGCTGTTTAAAGGACATTGACACAGCATTTCTGCCACCAGACTCCTGTATCTGCACCTGCAGAGACCACCTGGGCTGCAGTGATCGGTCACTGAGGGCTTCAGTCAAAGCCACTTCAACTCTGTCCACAGAGAAATATCAGCTTGTGAATACAACTGATACTGCACTGAACGGGTCATTTAAAAACCCTGACAGATCCCAACCTTATCTCCCCTGTGTAATCTGAATCTGCTGCTTAAGCAGGAGGATGTGCATGAATCAGGACACCAAGGCTCTCCATTACCCTCCCCAGGAGGTAAAAAACCTGCACGATGCTGTGTGACCTGGTTTCTCTCAGTGCACAGGACACAGTACTCCACAAACCAGAAGGCTGTATTGACAAGGAAATCAAAGTGAAAATTAAACAAACACAAACTAAATGAGTAATTCTTCCTCAGAAACAAAGCTCTAAGCAGAGGACATGAATCCAGTGATGCTCCAGTATTGATGGCTACCAAATAAATTTTACCATCCCTCTCTCACCAGTTTTGCATACTGGATATCCTACGTGTACCCTAGGCTAAGGAAGTCACAAGCAAACTATGTGAAAAGATTTTATCTTTTTACCTGGAATGCCAGGTACTCATGAAATACAGAAAACCTTGTGCACACCAAGAGTGCTAAAAAACCCCCATATTTTCTAAAAAGTGACTACAACTGTAATCTTGAAATGTTGTCAGAAGTTATTTCTTCATTTAAAAAGAAGCTTAAAAGAACAACTTTCAGTAGGGGCAGCACAAATCTGGAATGTTTTATCTTCAGTTTCCAGTATTTATTATTTATTTGTATTATCTTGCTTATCAACTCTGCAGACTCTGCTGAAGCAGTCAGTGGCGTTATGCAGACAGTGCTCCCTTTGTAGAGACTCAAGCTGAAGACTGACAAAAAATGTATTTGGTTTTTGTCTGCAACTCAGGAAGTTTCCCTCAGAGGAGATCAGAGAAATCATGTGAAGTTTTGAGAAATAGTCATCTTGTATAATTACGCTGAAGAAAATCATAATTTGTGAAGAACTCAGCAAGACAACAGACATGCAAGACTGATGTCTTGAATGCAGCTAAATTCTATGTTGAATTAGGGCTAGTTTGGCATCACTGTTCTTCAAGGTCCCATTCTTCCAACATTTGCTACATGGGAAGCAATGAACCACAGCTTAGACAGGAAAACTGAGCTTGGAAACCAGCACACTGCTCCTGCATGTGGTACTGTAGATACCACATGAGAGGTCACCAAAAAAAAAGCAGTTTTTTTAAATTTCCAGATCTCTGTCACTAAGATCTGCATTACAGAATTCGAATTTTGAGGAAAAGCTCCTTTTCAGGTTTCTGCAGGACTGCTTTAATGGAGAACCCAAGCAGATATCACAGCTCTTGGAGTCCTTTGAGCTAAACTCCCCCAATTTTAAATGATGCTAGTTTTCTGTCCATGCATATCCACCTTCCTTGTGGACACGGGGACAGAAATGGATCCATCACCCACAGGCACACAGCCAGTGGGCCAGGCTAAGATCAGAGCCCAAGTGTCTCAGAGTTTTGGTCCATATGCTCATTTGGGGGGCATAGATGACTTTGTTTTACTTACCCCCCACCCCATATCAATAACAGTTGCTCTGTGTGTTTCTTTCATACCGTTCCTTAAACATCCTCACAAATTTTAGGTTACTGGCCAGAAATGCCAAGTACATCATGTGTCTGCTGGAGGGTACCTGAGCAGGACACCGAGTTCTCACTGCTGCAATACTGTCGTACGATTCACACATGAAGTAAAACACGTACTGTGCTGGCACGACATTCAAAGTCACTTCACAGGGCCCCCTCCCAAGAGGCAGGAGCTCCACAACCCATCACATCCCCTCACCAGCGACCAGAACAGGCCAAACCACCCGACAGATGCAGATCTGATTTTAGGAGCAGCACAACAACGTGTAAGTGCAGGCTTAGACAGATAACACTAGACAGATAACACAAACTCCCCCACACCCAAATCCTTCTGGCTGCCTTTCACTTAAGCTCTTCCGAGCACTCAGGTATTTGGATTCCAGCTTCCTGTAAGCCACACCAACAGAGGCAGCACGTTGGGAATGGAGCCTCCATCCTTCTGCCACAGGGCAGGGATGGCTCAGCAGCAGCCCCGGGCATCGCTCATGGTCCTCGTGGCACTCGACAGTGCCGTGGGGACTGTCCCAAAAAGAGAATTGCTGCGGCTGTGCTCCTGCAGAGATGCTGCCAAAGGCCAGCCGCTGACATCTCGCCATTAACTGCATTCACACCACTCTCCTGCCACGTTTCCCAGGAAATCTAGTTGCTACGCAAACGGAAAAAAAAAAAAAAATGGGTTAACTGCCTGATATTTCTGTTCCTGAGACAGCAGACTTAAATCTTCTGGGAGACTGCTTATTCCCATCCTCTCCTTCCTGCAGCTCTTTTAGGACAACTCCCCTCCACTGCAAAACCATTAGCACATATTGTTGCACTTTCCCTGAACCCCAGCCATCCCTTTAACTCCTTCCTGCCCAGCTCTGTTCCTGACTATTCCTTGTCCTTCCAAGTGACACCGTGGCTCCTGCTGCTGCACTTCACCGGCCTCCTGGAAGGGAAGCTCTGCTAACCTGGCTGTCAGATGCAATCACTGCTGAGGCTGCAAATCTGCCCTCCCAAAACCTGTGGATCTAAAGCTCACTCTCTGCCTCACAGACTACAAAAGCAGGACTGTTACAAAGAGCCGGCGGCTCCCGAAAATCCAGCAGGCCTGTTTTGCCTTGCAGTGGTCATTTTGCTCATGATTGATGTTCAGGAAGTGGATTGCTTCCCCTCTTGTTAGACCCTATCTGGATTCACAGCAGCCAGGATCAGCAAATGCTTTCCGCTCTGGTCCCTTTTAGCTGTGTCTGTAAATGGCCTTTGAGCCACAGCAATTTGGAGGTATTCAGCTTCTGAATCCCTAATTCCTTTCGGCGTGGTATCAAGGCTCTGCACACGCTGCCACCCCGGGAATGCCTTGCTAGCAGCTTCCCATTTCACTGGCTGTGCCAGCGATTCAGCTCACCAGGATGCTTTGTCAATGTAGTAATCCCAGCAATTGTCTGCTTGAGTACTTCATGGCAATCAAAAGCCATTTAAGATTTCAGGTTTGTCTTCCTCTTCCCCCCTCCCCATCTTCTTTCCCAAGAGATGTCTTCCTGTCACCAGGACATTAGCTCATTTCTTTCACCAGCGGAGGTGAGAAAAACGCATTTAGCCCTACTAAGAGTCTCTTTATCCGTCTCTTCCAAGAACAGACATCATCTCTAGAGGTTAAACCAAAATAGCAGTGTAACAAAAAGCGATACTCAGATCTCCATCTAAGGGCTGAAGGAGCCCAATTCCGTTAGCTGAATTTGTTAAATTGCATCTTTAGCCATTGTTTTGTGAGAGCAGATGTCGTCGATCTTGTTCTCTAGACCCAGCTCCGCCACAGCACCAGATTGTTCAGCAAGCACAGGCAAAACCAGGGACAGGAATCCTTCCCACATCAGCAAAGAGAATTCCTCGCCAAAGAACACTCTGGACAGCACAGTGATAAATTTCCCTTTTCAGAATTCTTGACGCAAAATCTGATGGATGCTAGACAAACTATTCTGCCATAAAACCTGCTACACGATGTCCCAACACGACTCCAGCCTCTCTGTATGTAAATCTAAATTGCACAGCCTGTGAGATTTGCAATCCAAAACGCTCCATCCCACATGGTGAAGGAGAACATAACCCTGAAGAAACAGATTCCTTCACCCATTTCAAAGCATCAATCATGCGCTTTCTGTAACTTAATTACAGGTCTACTGCTGGAAGAAGGAATTAAGTTTCCATTAAAACCATTGCTGGTGGACAATATGCCTCAGATTGCCCAAATAAAGCAATTTTACTGCACTGGATGCTGATATAAAGACAGATTTCCTGAAACCAGAGCTGAGCTGGGTTAGTATAGTATGATGGCCTATCATACATAATTTTGCCACCCTGCTCTTACTGGCCAGTAGGGCCAAGTACTTTTCAGCCAGGGCAGGCAGGATGTGGAGAAGGGTTTGTTCTAACACAAGACTAAAGGGGATGTTTTATTAACGATCTGCCCCAGAGCTCCTGGCTGCTCCTCCGAGGGTGCTGCCTCAGCCAGAGCTGGGGTATACCCGAGCTGACATTTTAGCTCTTAACCCTTCCAGCTTTCCCAAGCAGGCTTCCCGTGCAGCCTCCCAGCACTGCCTGCTGGCGCACACACCGGAGCAATGAGCATATCCCAGCATATTTCAGCAGAGCAGAGAGTTGCACCAAAGCCACAGACACATCTCTCACAGAAGAGATTATTATCCTGATGCTGCCGAGGCTTTGGACAGAATTCCCGCTAGCCCGTGGCACGCACGGCCATGCCCAGCCACACCTGGGGACCGCGGGAAGCTGCACAGTGCAAAGCACCAAGACTGTTCCTGCTCCAAAATTAGGGGTGCTCAGGTAACAAACACACGGCTCGGAGACCCTGGCTCCTGCATTAGCTCAACCACTCTGAAGCACGGAGCGTTTCACCCAGGCTGACTCTCCTCATCCGAGCTGTTTCACTACCTGGTCCAGCCTCAGCAGCGGCTGCAGAGAGCCGAGGTGGGTTTTACTCTTTGTTCCCAGACGCCTTTTCTGGGTCTCATTCCCGAAGCATACGCTTTCATCTTAGCACAGTGGTCTTTGCTTCCCTATCCAGGGGATTACAGCAGTCCCCAAACTTTATTTCTGTTACCGTCAGGCTGTCAGCTCGCTCCACAAGCAGCAGCCAAGGATCGTACCAGCGTGGCGCAGCTGCGCCCGAGGCAGAGGCACCGAGGGACGCGCTTTGATGCCCGTGTCTCCGCCGGTGACCGGCAGTCACTGTCCCCTCGCATCGGCGGGGCTGCCTGACCCTCAGGCAAGGTCACTGGGGCCACCTGCCAGGTGGAACCTGGCCGAGCCAGACCCTGCGGGAGCGGCAAGGCGACTCACGGGACCCCTCGCGTCCCTGCCGAGCTGCCCGGGCAGCGGAGCCGCGCTCGGGCACCGCTGGTCCCGCAGCCCGCCCGGAGCGGAGCGCTGGGGCTGAGCGTGCCCCGCGGCTCGCTCGCACCTGCCCCGGGGCCGGCGGGGGCATCCTCGCTGTAAGGGCATCCCGGGCGGGGCGCTTTTACTCCGGGGGAACCGACCGACCGCCCCGAGTCCAGTTGAATGGGAGCGAACCGAGCCAAGCCCGGCTCGGCTGAATGGGAGCGAACCGAGCCAAGCCCGGCTCGGCTGAACGTGACCGAACCGAGCTGCGACGAGTCGAACCCACCTGAACCGACCCCAAGCCCATCCCAGACCCAGCCCAACGCAGCCCACCGGACCCCCATCCCCGCCGCTCACCGGTGCGCGGCCACGGCGCGGCTCCGCAGGTACTTCTGCGCCGTCATGACCCCCACGAAGAGGAAGCTCTGTGCCGGCGGGCCGGGGCGGCGCGGCGGGGCGGCGGCGGCGGCGGCGGGCGGCGGGCGGCAGCCCTGCGGGCGGGCTCGGTGGGGCCGCGCCGCCGCCGCCAGCTCGGAGGCGCGGGGCAGGACGAGGCGCGATGCGAGCACGAAGCCCAGCACCAGCCCCAGCAGGACGCTGAGCCAGGCGCGGCGGCCGCGGCCCGCCATGCCCGCCCGGCCCGCTGCTCACAGCGCCGCCGCCGCCGCCAGCCGCGCCGAGGCGCCCAGCGCCGCCATGGGGGAAGGGGCAGGGACGGGAAGCGGAGGGAGGGGAGCGGGGGGCCGCCCGCCTCCCCGGCCCTGCCCCTCGGCACAGGCGCCGTGTGCGGCCCCGCCGCGCTGCCCCTGGCCCCGCCCGGCCGTGCCGGACCGCCCCGGTGCGGGGCTGCGACGGGCCGTGGGCGGGGGGCGCCGGGACCCCGCTCCGGAGCGGCCCGGCAGCGGCGCCGCTGCACCTCCCGCCCCATCTCTGGAAGCGCTCCAGGCCCGGCTGGACGGGGCTTGGAGCCGCCCGGTCTGTGGGAAGGTGTCCCCGCTGCCCAGCGCGGGGAGCGGGATGAGATGAGCGCTGAGGGCCCTTCCACCCCAGACGTGTGACAGGGCCCGGCACCTTAACCAAGCATTCCACACAGGGAATAGAGAACCTGGCCCAGCATCCCACACTGGGACCTCAGGACTGGGACGCCAGAACCTCAGCCCAGCTGCCCAGATCAAGAGGAGCAGGAGGCTCGGAGAGTGTGGATGCTCAGCTCTGGGGACAGGGGCTGAGACGCTGGACATAACCCCAGCATCGGCATCCCAGCACCTGCGCCAAGGGCCAGAACTGGGAGCCCAGCCCTTCGGACTGCCATGGGGAGACGCTGGGGACAGATCCAGGATGGGCACCAGGTCGGGTCCCTGCTGCCCCATGGCACACACAGAGCCCAGGGGGATGCAGGCAGTGAGGAGCAGCCTTCCAGCCCTGTTTGCCTGGCACTGGTGCATTTGTGCAGCACCGGCTGCATGGTGACAGGGAGCCAAGGCACAGGCTCTCTGTTTTTCTCCCACCTTTCTAATTAAACCAACCAGAAATAGGTCAGTCTGTTTCCATCCGCAGGCTATAGTGAGTGCTCAAGAGATTGAAGACTTTATTGCATGCAGATCTCTTTTTCCTTTGTCCACACTGAATCTCCACGTATGTTTCATCTACAGAGCACTTCAGCTTCAAATGCTGCAGCCACAAGCCCCTCACATTTCACAGAAAAAAAACCTTCCAGTCTCAACAGAAGAAACTTATCAAGTTCTACCCACTGACCTCCTGCTTATCATTGTGGTTTCTTCCATTTCCTGCCCACTTTGGCCTTTCCAATTGCCAGTCTTTTCCATTTTAAATTTTATTTATATCATGATGTCATCCACAACGAGCTGGGAAGAAGAAAGCCTTGGTGTAACGGCAGCAACCTCTTGAGCAAGAACCATTGCAAAAGAGGATATCGCACCACATTAATACTCTACAGTAATAAGCCAAAGAGACACATCCATGACAGATTTTTTATGATCATGTCTCGCTTCTGGGATTGAGCAGGTAATGACACAAACTGCTTATCTAATGAGCTCAATGATATGTCATGGAAAAAATGCTTTTGTTTGGGGTTTATTGCTCTTGTGATGGTGCAATCCTCACACCGAGGTCAGCACAGATGAATTCATGATGTCAGGAGCACAAATAACACAAGGAAAGTGCCACCAGGATTTATGGTATTAAACAACAATAAAATTGAAAACAAATAGAAACTAGCTAAGAAATACAAACAGTGAACAGGAAAGAAGAGCAGGGCATCTCCTTTTATTTGCCCATGGGCAGAACAGAGATTTACTGAGTGACACGTGTTTGTGTGAAGAGGAAGAGAACTAAATGGCGAAAAAGAGAGAAAGGAAGAACATTCCAAACTGGAATACACACAAGGCAGGTAAAGCCAGGAGGGGCAGGAACACCATTGCTTGGCAAAGGCCAGCTGGACATTATTCCTTTCTACTTCCCAGGGTTTGCAATGCTTCACAATTATTTCTAACTACTGGTGCACTGACCCTTTCCATGAAGCCTGGGGTCATCCTCAGCCTGTGCCACTCTGCACACATGGATCTTTTATTGGACTTTAAAAAAGTTCTTCATTAAACTGTGCTTCTCTCCTCTCCCCAGAAGCCTGATCATCAGGTCCTGAAATACACAACACCAAGAGACAGTCAAGCTACAAAAAAAAGCAAGACCACTCCTTTCCAAGAGAGGCACATGTGGCAAGTCTATGAGCAGGAATGAGATTACCCTCTCCCTGCTTCAAATCAGCTGTAAAAATCTCCTGATTTAAGGGAGAGCCACTGTGGCCTATGAATTACAGGAAAAGGCAGAGCTAGCGTGGTTAAAAGGCAATAAAAAGGAAAAAGGTTGGGGCTGGGGCTGAGGAGCTGTCAGTTGGCTTCTTCCCACAAAGAAAAGAAGTTAGTCATCAGAACTGAGAACTCCATGCGACTTCAGCACACATGGAAATGATGAAGCAGAGCAGCACATTCCCCTGATGGGTCTCCTCAGCCCAGAGCTCTCCTGGGCACGTTCCCACCTTGCTGCACCTCCAGAGCAGGTATGGTTCTGGAGCTCACCACGTGCAGGGGTGGTCAGAGAATGCTTGGGCAGGGGCAGGAGAAGGAAGGGCAGCTTTCCTGGTGCCAGGATCTGACCTGCAGAAGAGGCACAGTCAGATTTCATATGAGATCACACCCCAGCTCTAAGGCTGAGATGGCCAGCTGTGAAGAAGGGGTGCCACCTGGGAATGTTGCAACACTCACACAATTCCCACAGCACATCCACATGCCTGCCTTTGTGTCATTTATTGTGCCAAACTCATGTTCCAAAGTGCTAGGCAGGCCTCTTTTACTGCTTCTGCCCCCTCCCCTACTCTTGCATAGAGCAGTTGCTGGAAAAAAAAGGGGGAAAAGCAGATTTAGAGACAACTTGAAGAGCATGGCTTAGTTCTTCCAGTGGAATTATAATACTGTTACCTGCCTAGAGTGTATTTTTAATCTGGATGGCAGCAAAAGGTCATACTGCATAATCACATTTAAGTGCCTTCCCTATTAATACAGCTCTTGATCTCAATAGCTATCACTATATATCATGGTTACTATATATTCAAGGATGTGATATTTTTTCTTTTGTAACACAGTCTACAAGCATGAAAGCATTTTTATGCAGCATGTTTTCAATTCGTTGTGGGATGGCTGGAGGAGGTATTCCAAGGGTTCTCCAAAATCTGCAGAGGATGCACATGGTGTGTGCTCATCTCCACGCTCCCATCCCACTCCCTCCAGGGGGATTAGCACCCAGACCAGCCGGTGAGGGCCCACTTGACAGGCCCACATGGTTTAGATTCATAATCAGATTAACAAAACTGTAATCCTATTTTTAAACAATGAAAAAGCCAAGTCCTTGAGCTGCCTGTGTGTGTGTGTGTGTGTGCATACAGAATAAATGTCATCCTTGTGGAAGAAAGAACCTGAATACCAAATGAAAAAGTTTCTTCCACATAGAAGACTTTGTCCATTAGAGGAAAGGACTACCTTGCATTATTACCACTGCTTTTTCCCACTGATTTGATCTCCAGCAAGCCCACTTCCAATACTTGCAGGATTTACCTTCTATAAAGACACATTCTTTACCACATTTAAAAATAATAGTTACAGAAGTGAACTACTCCCCAAATGATCCAGAAACTTTAATTATGAATGTTCCAGTACTCAAACTTATACTTTAAAAACTGCCCAGGCACTGGAAAATGAGCATACTTCATATATTCAATATAACAGACTCATGGTGGAAAAAATCTCACTGGGCAACCAGTAGCATTTGTCTCTGTCACAGTATTTCCAGCACTGCTGCATTTTCCCAGATGATGCGGAAAGTCCTTTCTCAGCTCCAGCACCCACCTTTTTTGGGTTTTTTTTTTGTTTTGTTGCTTGTTTTGTGGGGTTTTTTTTGTGTTTTTTTTGGTTGGTTGGTTGGTTTTTTGTATTGTTTTGGGGATTTTTGTTTGTTTGTTTGGGGGTTTTTTGTTTTTTTTT